CTGCGCGCCACCGCCTGCTGGTCGCTGTGCGGGATGGTGGAAAACCGCCCCTCTCGGCCACCGCCACGCTGCTCCTAGTCTTTGCGGACAGCCTACAAGAGGCGCTGCCGGATCTCACAGATCATCCTGTCCCTTCCGACCCGCAGGAGGAGCTGCAGTTTTACCTGGTGGTGGCCTTGGCCTTGATCTCTGTGCTCTTTCTTCTTGCAGTGATTCTGGCTGTTGCCTTACGCTTGTGCCACTCCTCCAGCCCTGCAGCCAAGAGCTGCTTTGGGTCGGTTCTCTGCGCAAAGCCTGGACCTGTGCTTCCCCACAAGTACAGTGAGGGAACGTTGCCCTACGCATATAATTTGTGTATGCCAGGGAATCAAAATAATCCAGAAGTTAATTTTCTCACATCTGTTGATCGTTGTCCAGCTGCACAAGATATTCTCAACAAAGACAGCTCTTCCATGCTACTGGCTAGCCTTTTAACTCCCAGTATTGACGCAGACAAGACAACGTTTAACCAGGTATTTAAAATAATGCTTTTATATTTCAGTTTGCCAACATATCCCAATATAGTACAGTTATTGCAAAATATTAAATAATTGGTAAGGTCCTAATATAAATCTAAGTGAAAACTTTGGGTATCACTGTTAAGATAAAAGTTCGCAGTGTTCAATCGTCCTATTATACAAAAACATTTTAAGGTAAGTTTTTGAGGACTGGGATTGTAGCTTAGTGATGGAGTACATGCTTAGCATGCTTGAGGCCTTGGATTCTATCCCCAGCACCACGCATACAATACACACATGAAACCTCAAGGGGAAATTTTCATGAAAATAGATTTAGTTAGGGATATAGTATACAGTTATATTCTTATGATGCTTCAAATGACAACCCAAATGCTATTCAAATTTTATCAAATATTTCATCTTTATGTAATTCAAAAATATTGGTAAGCACAAGCCAGGCATCCTACGTGATTATCTTATCTGGACCATGCTATTTCTACATCCACAAATTCCAGCTCCTTTCAGTCGGTATAATGAATTAGAACCTAACCTGCAAGTTACTAGTTTCAATAGCATTTTTGAAAACTTTTTTTAAAAATTTTACAAACCCTTTTAATAATCTCTGCTCCCACAAGTGCTCTCAGTAAACATCTGCCATCACATTGCATAACTACTGTTTGCGATTTTAAGCTTTACAAATACGTATGATTCACGAAAAGGTAAGTGTAATAATTTCTTAGGTAACAAGACCATCAGTTTTTCTTAATCGTTGCAATAATAACATTGGGCTCTAGGCGCCGCTGTTCACCAATCAGGGAATGGGAGGCAGAGCGCTATAGTGAGTCCCCCTCCCCGACCTCTATCACACAAAGCAGAATGAGATGGATACTCACCGATCCTGATGCTGGAAACTTAAAAGCGCTGTCTTCAGCTTTCTAACATATTTTGTATGCGGAAGGCTTGGGAAACAGACCTGCTCAAGACACTACGGATTATTTGCTCAGACCCTGCCATGAAGATTCATTCACCGCGTCAGGATCGCAGCGGGCTGCTCTCGCTGTGCTTTTTCCTGGGGACTATGTGCGGTTTTGGGGCAGGGCAAATCGGATACTCTGTGCCAGAAGAGACCAACAGAGGGTTTTTTGTGGGCAACATCTCCAAGGACCTGGGGCTGGAGGCTCGGGAGCTGGTAGAACGCGGAGTCCGCATCGTCTCCAGAGGAAAGACGCAGCTTTTCTCTCTCAACCCGCGAGGCGGCAGCTTGGTCACCGCTGGTAGGATAGACCGGGAGGAGTTGTGTGAGACCGTGTCTTCCTGCTTTTTAAGTATGGAGATTCTCGTGGAAGACACCTTGAAGATTTATGGCGTGGAGGTGGAAATAATTGATATTAATGACAATGCCCCCAGCTTCCGGGAAGAAGAAGTAGAGATAAAAGTCAGTGAGCACGCAGCTCCGGGATCGCGATTTCCTCTTCCTAGCGCTAGGGATCCGGATGTGGGGCCGAACTCTCTCCAGAGCTACCAGCTCAGCCCTAATAGTTACTTTTCTCTGCAAGTGCGAGAAGGAGCTAATGGGGTCAAGAATCCGGAGCTAGTGCTGGAGGGAGGCCTGGACCGGGAGAAAGAAGCAGCTCACCACCTCCTCCTCACCGCCTTAGATGGAGGAGATCCCATCCGCAAGGGCACCATTCCCATTCGCGTGGTGGTCCTTGATGTAAATGACCACATTCCAAAGTTCACACAGTCTCTGTATCAGGTGAGTGTTCCCGAAAACCTCAGCTCTGGAACTCCAGTGCTTGTGGTAAACGCCACAGATCCAGATGAGGGGACAAATGGGGAAGTGAGGTATTCATTCCGAAATATAGAAAGCAAAGCTTCTGAAATATTCCAGTTGAACTCGAAAACTGGAGAAGTTCTAGTACAAGGACCTCTGGATTTTGAAAAGTACAAATTTTATGAGATGGAAATTCAAGGCCAAGATGGTGGAGGTCTTTTGACCACTGCTAAGATGTTGATCACAGTTGTGGATATGAATGATAACGCTCCAGAAATAACTATTACCTCTTCTATTAATTCGTTGCTGGAAAATTCTCCTCTGGGTTCAGTAATTGCTCTTCTAAATGTGCAAGATCAAGATTCTGGAGAAAATGGTCAGGTCTCCTGTTTCATTCCTAATAATCTTCCTTTCAAATTAGAAAAGACCTATGGAAATTATTATAAGTTGATAACAAACAGTGAGCTGGACAGAGAGCAAATCCAGAGCTACAATATAACATTGACAGCCAAAGACCAGGGAAATCCACCCTTGTCCACAGAAGCTCATCTCATGCTGAATGTGGCAGATGACAATGATAACCCTCCAGTTTTCTCCCAATCCTCTTACTCTGCCTACATTCCTGAAAACAACCCCAGAGGGGCCTCCATCTTTTCAGTGACTGCTATGGACCTGGACAGCAAAGAAAATGCCCAAGTCACTTACTCTCTTATGGAGGACATTATCCAGGGGGTGCCTATATCCTCCTATGTATCTATTAACTCAGACACCGGCGTCCTGTACTCGCTGCAATCCTTTGACTATGAGCAGTTCCAAACCCTGCAAGTGAGAGTGACGGCACGTGACAGCGGGGACCCACCACTCGGCAGCAATGTGTCGCTGAACCTGTTTGTGCTGGACCAAAATGATAATACCCCTGAGATCCTGTACCCCACCACCCCTACAGATGGCTCCACTGGTGTGGAGTTGGCGCCTCGCTCAGCAGAACCTGGATACCTGGTGACCAAGGTGGTGGCAGTGGATAAAGATTCAGGACAGAATGCTTGGCTGTCCTACCGCCTGCTCAAGGCCAGCGAGCCGGGTCTTTTCATAGTTGGGCTGCACACAGGTGAGATTCGCATAGCCCGGACACTGCTGGACAAAGATGCACTCAAGCAGAGCCTTGTGGTGTCTGTGCAGGACCACGGCCAGCCTCCTCTCTCAGCCACCGTAACGCTCACCGTGGCCGTAGCTGACAGCATCCCAGAAGTTCTGGCTGACTTAGAGAATCTAGAGGCTCCCACCAACCCTGATGAATCAGGCCTCACACTCTATCTTGTCGTGGCCATCACCGCAGTCTCCTGCGTCTTCCTCATTTTTGTCATTGTACTGCTGACACTGAGACTTCGGCGCTGGCACTCGTCTCGATTTCTCCAGGCAGCAGGCAGTGGATTAGCAGGTGTGCCCACCTCAAATTTTGTGGGTGTGGAAGGGGTGCACGCATTCCTACAGGCCTATTCCCATGAAGTCTCCCTCACCTCAGACTCAAGGAAGAGCCATTTGATCTTCCCGCAGCCCAACTATGCAGACACACTTATCAGCCAGGAGAGCTGTGAGAAGAGCGAGCCTCTCCTAATAGGTTCAGCTGCCGTTTCAGGCAAGTATGACCCAACAGATAATCAGGTGAGATTTGTTTCTCTGCCTCCCAATTTCTGATGTCTTGCCACAAGTCTTTTAAGGGGATTTTTGCGGAGCCTGTTATGAAAACCTGGTTTTGGGTAGACATAGTTCAAACATATTTAGAGTGATGCATATGCCTTTCTGTACTTTACCTTTTATCAGATTACCATCATTTTTTAGAAAGGCTTTCTGAAAGTCACATTTATATTTTTAGTTCTGGCATATTTTCCTTTGATTTCAAAGGATCAGTTCAACTACCATGGCTTGCTTTGTAATACGGTGAACTTTACTATTATTTTTCTATCATCATTGTCTATCACTATCTATGGTAAACTATGATTCAAACAAATGATTTACAAACATTTTTATTCATTTCAGTTTCACAGTGTCCATTTCATTTTCATAGTGTCTTCACTGATTTATAGTTATAGTTATATCCTGCCATTTGTTGCTATTACTTTGAATGTTCAAATTTAACCCTGTTATTTGTACTATTCTTTCCTTGGCTTTTTCTGATGTATTTATCTGTACACACATGAATATATAAGTTTTTTCTGAGCATGAAATCATTCTATTTTGATTTTGATGGCGGTAATATATTTAGATCCTGCTGATTTTTGACATTATCTTATTTCTTTATCCTATCAAAATGGACATATTAACTAGGTTTTCTTGGGAGAAAAAATGCAGAATGCTTTTTTTAAAGTTCCAGATATCTTTTCCATTGCTGTAGTGAAGTTGTTAGATTGTTTTGAAGAAATAATTGAATTGTTGGATGGATGTTACTTGCTTTCATTCTTTTCCTTTAGTGTCTCATAGAAAGTTTTATTATAGTAAATTCACATGTAGAAATCATTTTGATCCAGGGTATCTCAAAAAATTATTTTCAGATCTGCTAATGATGGTTTCACCTTTCATTTTCTCCCCACAGAATAGTTGGCAAAGGTAAGAGGAGGGAGTAAGCATTTAGACTTTATAAAGGACAGATATAAATTCTAGGGGTATGGCTCAGTGGTAGAGCATGTGCTTAGTATACACACAAGGTCCTGGAAGCAAACTACACACACACAAAGAGACTGGTATTCCTCCGAATATTTTTTGGTTATTTTCAATTTACTTAGGAGTGATGCATTTCTTCCTTTCTCTCTTTCTTTCCTTCATAAGCACATTTTTGTATTGCATCTAAGTATATTCAATTATTGTATTAAAAAACAACTCATTATTGAAGTCTTACTGGTTATCTAATAACATACATGCTACCTGCAGCAAGGTCTAAGAAAGCCAAGTAAGGCAGGGACATATATGGGCTATTTGATCACAGGCATGGTTTCCATAATCAGTTCAGCTCACACTCTTCCACACCAGCTTCTAAGTCTGACCTAAAGTACATGCATGTTAATGTTCCCTTTCAAATTTCCTTAACGATAACCCTTAACGTGGTATAATTAACTGAAACTGATTAACTAGTTCTTGAACAAAAAAATTACAACTTCAAAGAAGGAAAATCTTCCAACAGATGCCTAAATTTGTCTGGAAGTGAAGAAAAATTAATGAAAAGTATGTCTGGAAGAGGTAAGTCATTTCATATTTTTAAGCACAGTCTAAACTAGTTAACAGCTGGTAACCAATATCTTGGAGAACAAAAAGGAAATATTGGCTTTGAAACTTGGTATTAAGGTTATTTTGACTTGGAGGTAGTGGTAAAGTTTTATGAAGGTGCAATATATAATCTATTTAAATAAAAGGATAAAAAGACCCTTCATTTCATGTCATTAAATTTTATGGCAAGCTCCTAGGCTATACATTTACATTCTGTTTATAATGAACATGTAAACACACAATAATCATTTTCATAATTCTTTGCTATGAGTAAGTAGGAGGGTTTTTATGGCCATGTTTATTTTTGAGTATGCGTTATATAACCTTCAGTACTTGTTTGATAAAAGGAGAACATTATTTGCATATTGGATTGAAGATAATACAGGGTGTTATTTTATCATTGTCAAAATTTTTCCATACCACTTGGTGGGGCTATTTTTCCGCGTGGTCTTTGTTAACCTGGAGAGAAGATTTTCCCTTATTCTTCCACCTGTCCATTTTCTTTGATTAGGCAAAGACATACTTCTGTTAACTAGATTAATGGCTCTACTATAGATCCCATCTCTGAGGAACTTTCTTTGATACTAAATACTGGAAAATAAACACGTTCGAAACTCATAAACGGTTTCAGTACTTACACATAAACCCAACGTATCTGTGGAATATGGAATCCCATTGAATTTGCAAAAGCTTCAGACTGCAGTTTTCTAAATAGTCTCTGAGCGCCGCTGTTGACCAAGTCGCTGCAAGAGCTGGATCCCCGGATCCCCGGAGCTTATATGCGCAGTCACAGAAGCAAGGCTGAAAGGAGAGTGCCCCGGACTTGGGTTTTCTGCTTCGCAAATCTAACTCCATAGGGTTGAGGGTACCCTCAAATTGGATTTTCTATGCAGCAGAAGTAAATATTTTCAAAGCCATTTGGAAGAATCTTTTGTTAACATCGGAAGCTGCAACAACACTCAAGAAAGATGGGATACAGAGGGAAGCAAAGGCGCCGGTGGCGGCAAGTACTCTTTCCCTTTCTTCTGCCTTTGTTCAGCGCAGCGCTCTCGGAGCAGATCCGATATTCTATTCCGGAAGAAATGGCCAGGGGCTCGGTAGTGGGAAACCTTGTTGAGGACCTGGGGCTGCCTATTGGGAATTTACTTGCCCGAAACCTCAGAGTTAGCACAGAGAAACAATACTTCACCGTGAACACTGAAAATGGGGACATCCTTGTGAGCGATAGAATAGATCGGGAGATGCTCTGTCCTCTGAGTTCTCTGTGTGTAATACCGTTAGAGATTGTAGCAGAAAATCCTCTAAATGTTTTTCATATAAATGTGATAATACAAGATATAAATGACAATCCACCTCATTTCCCCGAAAATACCATTGTTTTACAAATCAATGAATTAGCAATTCCAGGCACTAGATTTGGTCTGGAATCTGCTATCGATGCAGATGTAGGACCTCACTCTCTTCAGAGTTACCAGCTCAGCTCTAATGAGCATTTCTCTCTCATGGTGAAGGACAAGAGTGAAGGCAACAACGTTCCAGAACTAGTGTTGGAGAAGCCACTGGATCGGGAACAACAGGGTTCCCATCTCCTGTTCCTGACTGCAATGGATGGGGGAGACCCTGTCCTAACTGGCACTGCTCAAATTAAAATCAAGGTCACTGACGCCAATGATAATCCTCCGGTATTCACTCAGGATGTGTACAAAGTCAGCCTTAGAGAGAATGTGCCCCCAGGCACCTCTGTGCTAAAGGTGACAGCTACCGATCAGGATGAGGGAATCAATGCAGAGATCACCTACTCCTTCAAGTCCCTAAGAGACGGTATTGGAAATAAGTTTATACTAGACCATAAAAATGGAGAAATTAAATCCAAAGATCCTATAGACTTCGAAATCAGCAGAAGTTATACTATGAGCATAGAAGCGAAGGACGGTGGAGGCATGGCCACTGAGTGTAAAATTATAATAGAAATTCTAGATGAGAATGACAATGTCCCCGAAGTGATTTTTACTTCAGTATCCAATTCCATAACGGAGGATGCAGAACCTGGAACGGTGATAGCTCTGTTTAAAACACACGATAAAGATTCCGGAGTAAATGGAATAGTCACATGCCTCATAAAAGAAAAAGTTCCTTTTAGAATCGAAATTTCTGCCAATAATTATTACAAGCTTGTAACAGACGGGCCCTTGGACCGAGAGAAGACCCCTGAGTACAATGTCACTGTCACCGCAACCGACAA